ATTTATTTTTATAGTTATTTCAAAACCTTGTAAAAGTCAATATTTGAAATTTGTCTTGCTCCTTAATTTGTTTATAATTTTCTTAGATCAAAAATCTCCTTTAGCTTTTTGCCATACATTTCCAATTCTTCAAATTCTTAAACCTATGTTTAGTTTTTATTTTGTTGAAGAATGGAGATAAACTCACCAGGTAGCTGATATTTTCAGAAAGGAAACTACTTTGAAGAAACCTGAATTTTATAGATAAAGTGAAGATCTCTTCTAATATGAAATAATCCGAAAGCTGCAAAGCAGTTCAGGTTATATTCTAAAAAAAAGCACCTTTATATTTTCTCTCTGCCATCATACTGAAGAGAGAAATTGAGGAAAGTCCTGCCGCTTCCCCTCAGATCAATCACAGGGCCCTTTGAACCTCGTCCCAGCTTCTGGCAGGAGGCCAATGGCCTTGTCCCCACAGGGGTCTCCCCACCTCTCCAACCTTGCTGAGATGCAGGCAATGGACCCCAGGATGTCAGTAAAGGAGGCCCCAGAGGGAGGCCTCTTTAGCCTCCCCGTTCAACCACTGACGATGTTCTGACAACCACGGATGATCATTACATGGGTGCCTGCAGGAACTGAAAGTATTTCCCTTCGTTTTGGAAGGATCTGTCATGAATTTGTCCATGAAGCAGGCTCCACTTCTGCTTAGGCATGTCGTACTAGAGAGAATTATGAAATGGAATTATTGGACTTCCTGGGAATATTCGTCTGGATTAGGGGCCTCCAAACTTGGCAACTTTAAGACTTGTGGACCAACTCTCAAAAAAAAAAAAAAGATGTTGAGACTCTAGAAAGAGTGCAGAGAAGAGCAACAAAGATGATTAGGGGACTGGAGGCTAAAACATACAAGGAACGGTTGCTGGAATTGGGTATGTCTAGTTTAATGAAGAGAAGGACGAGGGGGGACAGGATAGCAGCCTTCCAGTATCTCAGGGGCTGCCCCAAAGAAGAGGGAGTCAAGCTCTTCTCCAAAGCACCTGAAGGCAGGATGAGAAGCAACGGATGGAAACTCATCAAGGAGAGAAGCAACCTAGAACTAAGGAGAAACTTCCTGACAGTTAGAACAATCAACCAGTGGAACCACCTGCCTCCAGAAGCGGTGAATGCTCCAACACTGGAAGCTTTTAAGAAGAGACTGGACAGCCATTTGTCCGAAATGGTGTAGGGTTTCCTGCCTGAGCAAGGGGTTGGACTAGATGACCTCCAAGGTCCCTTCCAACTTTATTACTATTACTATTACTATTACTATTACTATTACTATTACTATTACTATTACTATTACTATTACTATTACTATTACTATTACTCCACAACTTCTGGAAGTTGAAGTCCACAAGTGTTAAAGCTGAGCGGGATGAATGGCGCAAGGGCACCAAGACAACGTTCATCAAGGGGATCGGGGATTACCCTGTAGTCTTTTTGTTAATGAGCCCTCACGAGAAGGGAAAACCAGGGAATAAAAGCCCCGTCACTGGGGGTAGAATGAAGAGGCCCCCCCAGCCAGAAATACTCAGAGCACCTGGACTGGCTTGGTACCTGTGTCCAGAGGGAAGCAAGGGAGGGAGCAGGCAATCCCTTGGCCCTCTGGGGCTGCTTGTGCATAGGAACCCCCCAAAGGCCACTGAAGTGGTGGGGGAGGACCGGTCATAAACTGCCTGGCTGTTGACTCCTGCAGGCTCCTTGAAGGAAAAGCACCAGCGAGCAGCATGTCTGGAGTGGACAACCAGGTCAGTCTCTGGGCTGAATGGCGCAGATCTTGGGAAAGTGGATGACTCTGTTATCTATTATCTCTCTCACTTTCTCTCTATCATAGTTTGTCTCTGTCTCTCCATCATCTCCATCTGCATATTTCCATCTCTCCATCACCATCACCATCTTCATTTCCATCTCCATCTGCCTCTCCATCTCTCCATCACCATTTTCATTTCCATCTCCATCTGCCTATCTCCATCTCCATCTCTATCTCTTCATCTCCATCTCTCCATCTCCATCTCTCCATCTTCATATTTCCAACCTATTTTCAACCCCATAGATTGTCTGCAATGTCACGGAGAGGCTGCTATATCTAAAGCCATGGTCCAAATTCTCTTCCTCCTCCGTGTCCCCCTCCCCCTGATGTAATCTCCTTCCTTTCTGTCCAAGGGTCTCTTTGACTGAGGAGGCTCTGCAGATGAAGGGGCACCATGCAGCACGTCAACTCTGGTGCTCCCGCGAATGCCACGGCCACGCTCCACGATGCCTTCACCCTCCTGGGCATCCCAGGGCTGGAGTCCCTGCACCGGTGGCTCTCCATCCCTTTCTGCTCCATGTACCTGGTGGCTCTGCTGGGCAACGTGGGCCTCCTGCTCGTGATCAAGACGGAGCCCAGCCTGCATGAGCCCATGTACCTCTTCCTGGGCATGCTCTCCCTCACGGACCTGGTGCTCTCCTCCTCCGCCCTGCCCAAGCTCCTCGCCATCCTCTGGTTTGGCAGGAAGGACATCGGCTTCCACGCCTGCCTGGCCCAGATGTTCTTCATCCACTCCTTCACGGCCATGGAGTCTGGCTTCTTCCTGGCCATGGCCTACGA